CTTCCCGTCAACAGAGAGATCTGAGCAGGCAGGGCTGACAGACCATCTGATGGCCTGTTTAAGTGTCACCAAAGCCGGTGGAAGGGAAGTATAAAAACAGACATTTGCTCAGAACCAGCAAAACAAACTAGAACATGCCCTTGTTTAACTGGGCATGCGCCTACCTGCATTGACACACAGCAGCAGATGGAGACATGCTTGCCAAGTTCCACCCAGTGGTCATTTTGAAATGTCGAGATCGCTACATGCAATTCCAGCATAGCTCCTCCTGGCTTACACTGAGCTCACTTGGCTCATTCTTTGGAGCTGCTCCCGATAGCGTCCTATTGTCCAGGTCACCTCCAGGCGTATTATCACCTATACTCAATAGGAAACACACCCAAACAGAGTCTCACCCTCAGTGAGCCCAACTAACGAAAGAACAGATGGTTTAAACCTTCCAAATTAAAAATCTAATGGATTAGATCCTTCCCTTTATGAAGAACCTAATGACAAACTGGTCAGCCCCATTAGCCAGTTTGTCCCACAGGGCTCCACTGGGGAACACAAACACTTTCCTAGGTATCATTAGTAACTATACCAGTCCTCTGTGAGCTGCCTGAAAACGACAAAAAAGGGAGGGGAGGGGGAAGAGTTGCTACACTCCAAAGCGGCTAGAGAGAAGCATCAAGCACATCAAAGCGAAGTCTTCTTTACACAAAGAACAGTCCACTAAAAAAACCCCACAAATTCCTTATCCATCATCATCTTCTTTGACAAGGACAGTGCGTGTTAATATCCCTTTGTATTCCCCTCTGGGTCCCTTCTCCATTAGAGACCTCAGTGAGAAAGTGTTCTGCTTTGTTCTTCAATCTCCTTTCTTCTTCAACTGATTCACCAAAGGATTTGAGGAGCCTGGAGTAAATTACAGTAACTTAAACCTGACAGGTGCTTGAGCACTAATAACCAAAGCACCGCTGGCGAGAGGTTTTAATCCAAAAGGTGGGAAAGACACAGAGTCAAATTCATCCCCATGTCAGGCCACTAAATCCAAAGGAGTTACTTCAGAGATGTCATTGGCCCATTAAGTTTAAAAAGGTAGAAGATACATTTTTGATCAGAATACTACAGTTATATACATTGTTAAAGTGAGTCACTCCCCACGTTCCTCTCATGACATTCCCTGCACCACCCCCAAGTCTCTTTGCCAGGCTGTCCTCCCCACAAAGCAATCGAAGGCCCCAATCTGGGAAGGAAAGACGTGGGGAGACCTCTGAGCCCACACACAGCCCCACTGGACTTTGCAGTCAGTTCAGCATGGGTGTTTATTCCTTCTTTTCACATGCACCGTTCCAGTAACTCCTGGGGCACGACCAGCATTTGGCATTTTTTATTCTAGCACAAGTGGAACGAGGGCATTGCTTTGACTGCAGGCTCTTTGGGATAGGGACTGGTTTTTTGTTCTGGGTATGTACAGCTCCTAGCACCACGGTCCATGACTGGGGCTACTAGGCACTACCACAATATAAAGAAGAAACAACAACAAAGCACACTAACTGCTGTTTTATGCTGCGTTGGAGGTATTCCGTTCCGCCAGTTGGTAGAATGGGAGGAAGAGAAGCCAAGAGAATAGGACATCCTTCTCTTATCCCCAAAGAGTGAGTATTAGGCCAAGGGAACAAGTGTCATCAGACCCTTGCAGGATTACTACTCGTTAAGCTAAGATATTACAGCACACTCCCACTCCCTCCCAAAAGAACTCCAAGGGAAGAGCGCGGAAGGACCCACCCGCTCCTCTGATTAAGTAGACATGGATGATAAGGCATCGACTACAAGCCAAAACTAAGTTCAGCTCCTGATGTTATTTTAACCGGTTTCAAATCAAAACCTCTCTAGAAAGGGGAGCCTCTTAAACATCATCCTGGAATAATGGGGAAGGATTTTTTCCTTTTGCGGGACCACAGCTTGGCTTGGAAGTGAGAGACCAACAGTGCAAGGTGGATTAACCCACCAGCAATCAGGGAACATCTCTAACTTGATCACTTCCCTCTGTCCACTCCTCCTGCCATCTCTTTCCTAGCCCACCATTTCCCATGCAGTCCTGTATCCCGCCTCCTCCCACCCAACCCTGCAGACACAGGCGATGTAGGCTTCTTCCCAGTAGGCAGAGAAAAACATGAGACACATTGGAAAGAAGTGGGTTGCTTGGTGTAACTGTTTACTTTCTCTGTTGGGAGCTGTCAGCAGCTGATCAAATACATTAGAAGGTCCCTTCAGGGCCTTATATCGCAAACCCCAATACAGGCAATACAATTAGCGCAAACCCCAAGACAGGCAAGATAGGCCCAAGTTTAAAAACAAATGTAAGTGAAACAAATGGGTGTTTGAAGGTGATAACCTTCATACAATTTTAACCACAATCGCGAGCTGATTGCATTCATTTGGTTGCGTGACAGAGCTGGATCTTGTGGTGGGTTGTTTTACATGCCCGTGATACCAGGACATGCCGAACCCAATGTTATTTACATCACAGGACAATGTTCCTTTCACTGAAACACACGACAATTTGGTGACTTTCACCTTCCAAATTCTGAGAGGAACTAAGCAACAAATGGAAGTTTAAAGAACTCCCACGTTAACGTAGAGGGGCTCATGGAGTGCCAAACTACTGGAGCCTTTAGTTTTGTTTATCAATCCAAGTTTTTAGATGCACCAATTTACAGATGGGGAAATCGAGGCACAGAAAAATTAAGTGACTTGCCCACAGTCATACAGGGAGTCAGTGGCAGAGTGATGAATTGTGCCTAGATCACCTGAGTCCAGCCCAGTACTTTAACCACAAGACCACCATTCCTCCCTATTAGCAGTACATCCTAGAACTGAGCTTACTACTACAGACTCTTGTATTAGAGATTTAAAAAAAAAAAATTCATGTCTTCAGTTGTGCCAAAATGCGAAAGGGGGGAGGGGGAAGCATTCGTTGGATACCAGAGTTACCAATTCTTGCAATTTTCCAAGACTTGTTGTTAATATTTTGTGTTATGCTTAAAGCCCCAGCTCCTGGAGTCATGTGATCGTACGACAAACTCAGCTGTCATTTACAGTTTTTCGCCTTTGTAGTTGCAGAGAAAGTCTTGGAAACCTGACCCTAAATGTTCCTTCACCAGCAAACAAAAAAGACAAACACACTGATTTTTTAAATTAATCTCATGGTTTTTTGGGAGACTGAGTCATGATTTTTGAATGACTGGTGTTGGCAACGCTGCAAATTAAATCTCAGGATTGAAACAAAGGTCTCACCTGGACTGTTTGGAAACCGCTGCCGGTTAAAGAAACAAAAACAAACGAAAGAGCCCACACTTTTCATGTGTGTGGCCTAAAGCCACATTCAGCACAGACACCGACTTAGAGAATCCCAGGGAAATGCAGTTTCATTAAATCTCCAATAAAAATGGATTTGTATCCGGCTTCTGCCGGAATGGAAACTGATAGGAGGGTTAAGAAAAAAATCCACCTAACTTCATTAACCGAAGCACAGAGTAACATCAGCACTCATGATGCTTTGCTGCCTGGCACTCTCATTAAACACACAGCCACCTTAGACCTTTCAAAGAGCTCTTCTAGACAGCTAGCAAATCCAAGGAAATCAATGTTTCTATCTCCAGGCCCTTGTGGTTACTGCAGTTCATCCTTTTCACTTGCACCAGCTGAAGGAAGCTTTAACAAGGGCAGCGTTTCCACCTCTCATGAATCTCCCAGTATTCAGTGTTTTAAAGCCCCAACTCCTGGAGTCACATTACAAGATGAAAATATCAGCTTTTTTTTTTTTTTTTTAAATAAACAAGTTCCTAGCCTCATGATTGCAGAGAAAAGCTTGAAAGGGTGACTGAAGTGCACCCTAAAAGGCTCAGAAAACAGGATGCAAGGGGGAGGGGGGTTAAAAATCTCATGATTTTTGAGGGTTGATTCAGGATTTTTGAACAGCGGGGATTGGTGACACGGCAACAAGCTGAGGGCAGCTTTCCTAGCAAAACCCTGAAGCCATGCAAAATCCATCATGGGGATCCCCAAATACTGTGGGGAACAGTCTGAGGTAAGCCCCAACCCTAAACCAAGCCAAAGGCCAGTGCAGTCAGCTGCACTTACATCCCAGAGCACTGTACGTTAGATGTGGGAGTAACTGTCCCGCTCTACTGGGCGCTGGTGAGGCCATACTGCACCCAGGTCTGGGCAAAGATGTGGACGAACTGGAGAGAGTCCAGAGGAGAGCAACAAAAACGGTGAAAGATTTAGAAAATCTCAACTGGGAGGAAAGGGTAAGAAAAACGGGGCATGTTTAGTCTTGAGAAAAGGAGACTGAGGACCTGATTGTTCTCAGATATATGAAAGGCTGCTACAAAGAGGACTCCGATCAATTGTTCTCCATGTCCACTGAAGGTAGCACAAGTAGTAATGGGCTTAATCTGCAGCAAGGGCGAGCTAGGTTAGATATTAGGACAAAGCTTCCAATTATAAGGGAGTTTCTAACTTTCTAACCTTCCCAAGGGAGGCTGTGGAATCCCCGTCATTGGAGGGTCTAAGAACAGGTTGGACAAACACCTGCCAGGGAAGGTCTAGGTTTACTTGGTCCAACCATAGCACAGGGGGTGGACTTAGTGACTTCTCCAGGTCCCTTCCAGCCCCACATTTCTATGAGCCTGTAATCCACTCCCCTAAGACAGCACACGATTTAGGACAGTAGCCCTCTATTTCCGACCTAGAGGATCTGCAAGAGGGGGGAATGAGCAGATGAGTTAGGGATGGTGACACCACATACACTGCACTGCCAGCTCAGAGACCAGACTTTACTCTGCCGTGTGAAAGGCAGGCGTTCAAGAGCAACACGTAACCCCCTCGGGCATCCGGTAATGTGCAGGTCAGCTAGAAATGGGCTTCCAGCGGCCCACAGTCCTAGACACAACCAGGGTGGGTGGGAGACTAGCCCGAGGCCACTGACAGCAGACAGTCATACTGCTACTTACCAGCAATGGGAGGAGGAGGTCGGCCAAGTAGACAAAAGCTGCTCCCAGGGTGAAGCCAACAGCTACCGGGAAGAAAGCAAAAGCCCCGAAATTCCCAGAATCTTCAGCCAATTCAATGGCAGGAGCCAGGAGGGACCAGTAAGAAGCAGCTAACATGACCTACGGGACAGAGAACGACACATTAATACAGGTTATGAGATTACCCCCAATCGAGATCAGGACCCTAATGCTTTGGGTGCTGTACATAAAAGCAATAAAGAGACAGGCCAAAGGTGGGGGGGAAGGGGAAACTGAGGCAGAGGGTGACCAGCTTTAATGATCACAATAGCTCAGTGGCAGAGCTGGGAACAGAACCAAGGTCTCTCGATGCCCAATCAGGGGCCCTGCCCACTGGACAACACTGCCTCTGCTTCAACACCAAGGATTTTGTTAGACTCCCAGCAGAGAGCATGCTGCCTCTCAAACCAAAAATGCCCCTGTGTAGCCCCAACTCCCTCCAAGCACCACGCTCCTCCCAGGTAACCGGGCACCTAGCTCCAGCAACCCACACTTAGAAAAACTTCCCTCCTGGTTATTTAACATCCCTCCTCTAGCAGGAGGAAAAGAGCAAACCCCCTTCACGGATTCACCGCATGGACCTCTGCTCCCTTAAGGTTTTTCAGCAGATTCACGACACACCAAAAGTTAAATAAAGGGGGGTGTGCACATTGTACACAGACAGCATCCGCACTGTTCCGCTAACACACTCCTTTGGTAACTCTGTTTAGTGACTGTCCAATCTCTCAGCTTCCTGCAGCTTTCTGGACGGCAGCGGCCCTGAAACAACGCTCACCGCTGCTTGCCAGGGCTCACACCTGGCAGGCTTCTGTTCACGCCAGCCACAAACACACCAGCTTATTCGTCATTGCTTTTGCCATGGCACTTGGCAATGTGAAAAGTGTGACATGACCATTCAGACTGACCAATGAGATTCGAGCCCATTTCCGCACAGAGCAGTCACTGAAGTACAATGAAGAAAGGAGAAGGGGCTTAAGCGTGAGCAGTACAAAGCCATCAATTTTCACCCAGCCAGCCTTGAGGCAGGAAAACAATTGACGCGCACACACTTACTTGCTAGGCTCACCGTACTGAGATTTAACACACCCATAATAACCCTTCCCAGAGGGGAGCAGCGGGAGGGGAGGGGAGGGGAGGCCTGGCTCCCAGCCACATACTAGTTCTTAGCGAGGACAGGGAATGCAAGAGACAGAGGCCTCTGCACAACACATGGTTAAATATGAATGTCTTCTCATTTGTGTCACCTGTTTTCACCACAAAGCACAAGTTCAAGGATGCTTCAAAGAGACCCCATCAGGTTGGACTAAACACAGTAACACAAGCCTAGGATGTTAACAATCAACACCTTATGTTATTAAAATGAAGAATAGCCAAACGATTCTGATGCGTTTCTACCATTAATGCAGATTGACATGCCAAAAGGGACCAGTTAGCGATTGAAAGCAGAGGAGTCAATTTCACCTACTAGCTCTCCGATCTACCGACAGCTCCAATCTCCCAGATACCCAAGCACGGACATTATCTCGCATGGCCAGGTCTGGAACATGGACACCACAGGCCAATAGTTGATTCTCAGCACACACACCACCTTATTTCCACTGGTATTAAAGTACTTTGGAGAAAAGGGCTTCCCCTGGCTTTTGCAAACCTTTGGTTTTACGAAAACCGGAATTGCAGGCCTAAATCAAGCTGAAACCATGTCTTTAAATAATATAGTGGGAAAAGGTTATCGATCAAGATCCACAGGGCTCCAGTGACCTGGGAGACTCTCTCCAATCCACTAAGAAGGGTCAGGGTTAGTTATATGGCACTTTCTCTCCTAGCCTTGCAAATCAGTTACCAGAAGAGCAGGGGGAGTGGCTCCAATCCAGCACTCCTCCTTCTCCCCCCCTCCTTCCCCCCCCCGCAAAGCCTTAGTCCCTACAGAGGACAGCACTGAGGAGACAGGTGGAAGGGGAAGGCAGGAATCCAAGCAGTCATTTGTTCATTCAGCTCCCCACGCTGAGCACGCCTGCTGCTGAAAAAAGGACAAGCTGTTTCCCAGATGACATGGCACGACACCAAGCCACGAGGGAGAATTTGGCTCATCTCCCCGGGGCCCCCCCCCCCAAAAAGAGGAAGTGTTAGAAAACAATGAGAGCGATCTACATTCCTTCTGAAAGAGAGCGAAACCGCGCTCACTGCTTCAAATCCAAGAGCCTCCACCGATCCGTGTTCCTTGCTCCGGCCAAGACACAATTCAACGCTTCTGAACCCACACAGCTCCTACTGTCTTCAGCTCAAGCTGTGGGTGCCCAGGCCCCTCTGAAAGTCAGACCCAAGGTGGGCACTCAAAGTCAGCAGGCACTTCCTGTTTTACAGGCGTCCATGCAGTGCTGAAAAGCACTCCGTTACCCCGGTGACGGGCATCATATTTAAAACCTACCTAGAAACCAGGCTCAGGACAAAGTGTTCTCATCAACTGGCAGCTGTTGGCTGGCCTACATGAAAGGAGTTTGGAGGGGTCTCAAAATGGCAACCAGACGCCAAACCCACCAGCCAACTGGCAGTCTCGGTCCTGGCTCTTCTTGATCTCAGCCAGAGACTGGCTCCAAAGAGGAGGACAAGACATGAGGACACGACATGAGGACACAACTCCCCACTGACTCCTACAGCTGTTCCCTCCACACCAGGTTTGAGGGCGTTTCCACGGCTGCCACCTATTCCAGGGTGGCACAGAGGTTTCCAAACACTAGGGAGAGATTGCTAATTAACAGAACATGAAACATCCGATGAAGTGAGCTGTAGCTCACGAGAGTTTATGTTCAAATAAATTTGTTAGTCTCTAAGATGCTACAAGTCCTCCTTTTCTTTTTGCGGATACAGACTAACACGGCTGCTACTCTGAAAACAGAACATGAAAAGACACCGAAGATCTGTTGATGAAGGGAGTCAGTTATATCGTCAGGGTCGCTCCCCGATCCCCACGTCTGTATGTCCAACGCTATCAACAGCGAGAGCTTTGGGAGGAACAGGCGGGATGCTGGGCCAGCGCTGGTGCTGGCTGCTTTCCAGTTTTGTTTGGAGGAACTTTGTTGTCCTAGCTTGTGGCTACTGTGCGTGTACCACCCACCCACCCACCCGTCTTCAGCCTCAGAACGGCAGCGGAACCTGGGTCAGCTTGCTCACTTAAGTCCCCAAAAGCCCAGCAAAACACTTTGGACTGGGACTGTCCCATGAGGTTTCTGTAACCTGCGGAGTCTTTATAGCGCCCCACGAGCAGATCCCCTCCAACAACCGGTTCAGAGAATTCTGGCTAACGGAGCAAGCACAACTGTAGATGTATAGGACCAGGGTACAGCTAAATACACTGTATGGTAGCAATCAACACACCAGTCATAGGCTCCAATAGCCTTTGTCAGCTAGAGGGAGCAAGGAAAGAACTGTCCAGGATTTCTTTGTTCTACTGGTTTTGTCTTTGAATGCAGACTCACTTTGGACAGAAGACTCTTTCCTTCCCTCTGCCCACGTGCTCCAACCTCCTGCATTTAGCCATCAGCCACTCCCCTGTATCACATCAGCGAAGAGAAATCTCTAAGAAACCAGCTCCCCTAGGTTATTTCTGTTTCTGTGGCTGCTTATAAATAGACCATCCGAGTGGGCAGGGGTAGAAGGGGGAGGCATACACAGGCCTGAGGGAAGGGGGACACTAGATACTGCACTGATCTGCTGGGGTGTCCTGAGTCTCTTTGGGGTTAAGTCCATAACGAAGTCAAGAGAGTATGGGGTAGTTTTAGGCTTGATGCACAGACCTCCCAGCTGTAGCTCACGAAAGCTTATGCTCAAATAAACGTGTTAGTCTCTAAGGTGCCACAAGTCCTCCTTTTCTTTTTGAGAATACAGACTAACACGGCTGCTACTCTGAAACCTCCCTCTGTTAGCGCAGGATCAAAATGACCATAGCATGCTGGGTTTGAAACCCATCCAGATCCCCTTTGCAGCTTCTGGATAAAGGAATTCTGTGCATACACACCCGCGCACACACACAGTAGCTCCTTGCTAAAAGTGCTGATCGCACCAATGCCAACGGTAACAAGTGAGGAGATAACAGCAGTCAAGACATTTCATCAGCCCATTTCGGTGCCACTTGGCTGTTCCCTTCCCCCATCCTCAGCTACTTCCCTTCCACCAGCACAATGAACATCTCTCCACCCATATCCTAGAACCACGAGTGGCAGCCTTGAACTCCAACCACAGGTAACATAGGGTTTGGTGTGGCTCAAACGAGACTGCATGGAATTCTGCAGGTGCTTTGGCGTCGGTTTAAGAAGCAAGATACGGGGTCAGTGCGAACAGCAGCGAGAAATATTCCTACACACTTCTCTGCAATGGATCCATTTTGCCCCAGGATGCTGTCCCTGGCCACTGTTGTGCCAGGTGGAGATGCAAGTCCCAAGTCTACCTTTGGCCCATAAAGCTTTATTAAAGTAGCAGAGAAATCCATTCCTTGGATTAGTTAAGCAAGAAAGAAAATATCAGATCCTCAAACACACATCCAATATGCAGCACAAATACATACTTCATCAATTTATTTATTTCATTTCCTTTCCTCTCTCCCCTCCCACTCCCCCTTGGTGTTACATGTACTGGGCTGGATTAATCAAAAATAATCAGACCAATTAAGAGCCTTCAGCAGGTTCGGCATCCCCTCAGCCCCCAGCTATCTACAGTACTTGCTTTTGGAGCCATTCAGCTACAGTAGGAGACTCATTTGCGACAGACTCCACTGAAAGTCTTCTCATTTGCCACAAAACAAATGAATTTTTTTTTTTAAAGTAAAATCAGTCTGAGACCTGAGAAAAATGCCAGCTAAGAAAAAACGCTGAAGAATTCATAGAAAATGTTTCCTCAGCTTGGGATCAAACCCAGTCTTCTGGAGCCAGGCATTCTCCCAGCACCCAAGCGGGCACTTTGCTAGACCCTCCCTTGAGCAAAAGATAGGGAGAAGTTGAGGCTGAAGTTATAGAATCATAGAAACACAGGGCTGGAAAGAACCTGGAGAGGGTCACCCAGTCCAGCCCCCTCCACTGAGACAGGACCAGGCAAACCTAGACCATCCCTGA